CTTTACTTCCTATGTCGACAGCAACTATGAGTTTTAAATTATAATTTGGCAAGTTAACAAGGACAGATAACTAGTCTTCCTCCAATTTTAATATGTGTTAATATGTTGTTTTTTGGTGTTTTTGTTTATCGAACGTGAATTGGTTTTACTTACTTTTCATTGATATCTCATTATATAAATACTTGTGAATGGAAATAAGTCTGGATGTTGTCATCGAAAACTTGGGTCTTACAATGCAGTCTTTTACAAAATGATTGTTTTGTTATAATAACACAAATATTGACCCAACCTCGGTCGATATACAAATTTGTCTACCTGAAGAGATCATTGTTGACCGAGGTGACCAATTGTCGACCTACATAGACCTTGGCCCGGGTCAATATTTCTATACAACCGCGACTGCACATGCATTACAACCTAGTGATTTAACTTACCAGAACTAAAAATATGATAGTCTAAGCTAATAAGACGTCATTCATTCCATACGTATTTTGAACGTAATCAGAGTTATATTACATAATTTATTAGAATGAACAAAATTTTGTCATTTTGTTTTGCGTAATTGATGCGTTTATAATGACTATAAGGACTCGCTAACTGAAAATTATTGTTGTTGTTTTTTGGCTGATTTTAATGAGAAATCCATGTTTTCAGATCACTGGTGTACATGTACATGTACATTCATATAATATCATATTATATAGTTATTTCGTTGAGCTATATGGTATCCAACATTTCCATAAGTTGTTGACCCATGCTCAATCAATCAATCAATTAAACACTGATCAATAAATATCTGTTATCATCTTGCTTCAGATTCTGTTATATCAGTATACCCAGAATGCAAAATACTATGAATCGTTTACCGAGTATTTGGACAAGTGGCTACGTAATGGCTCTGTGCCGTACACACCAAAAGGTCTGGCCTATTTAAGTACATGGGGAGCTCTGCGTTATGCGGGTAAGTAAATAAATATGAAAACAAATTATTCCCACTAACATGTACTGTCGAAATCAGTGAATCAAATGTTCATACTATTGGTGGTATAAATGCGCATGCGTTGACGGTTTGAGTGAATGGTGATTGTGCACACAGACATTAAACTAGCCTCTCTCTTATAATCGCTAGTCTAATAACTAAATAGATGTCAAATTTATTTGCATTACACTAGGTGCCAAAATATATTATTTCCACATTATTTATTTCTATCCACACGACTCAGTTAATTTCTAATTTCATATACGTGGACTCGTCATCATCTAGGTGTGACTACTTCACGCGGTCAGCGTTGCCGCTACTGTAAACAAGTTGAAATTGTTTTGTAACGTGCACAAAATGTAGGGTATAGAACAAAAAATACATGTACCGGGTAAAATTATTGACATATTTACAAAGTTATGTCATTTTATACATTTCTGTATGCCGAGAATTTCTCATCCTCTACCCTAACGTATGCCGCCGGTTCGACAGCTGGTTCGTTGGTGTGATTCGAATGATCGTTCGTGCAACTCTCCTGGGATTTTACCCAGAGAAATAATGGGAACTTCAAGTTGCAAACAAACAAGTCTCATCTCATTCCATAAAAAAAAAACGATTTTTTTTTTTTGCTAGAAACTTTCTACACCTTGCGGCTGGGAGGGATACAGCCGATATATGGGGAGTCACTCGTCCAAGATGACGTCACACTTGTTTGAAATACCAGGAACTCGTTTCTAGTAGTGCGTTGACTACGTTTGACACCAAAGCTGCAACCAAACCCTTAGTACCGCTTCTATTACAATTAAGTCAAGTACCATAGCAACATCCGAAAGTCAAATATTAATAAACACTGTTTTCTATCGCAGTAGTTAATGTCCAAAACATAAGCTGCTACTGGCAAATATATTGAAAAGTGTAACATAGTCCGCGGTTTCAAAACGTCGTTAAAAACACAATTCGCAATACAAGCATCGTCCGAATCGCACAGTTTCGCTAAAGCCGACCATTCATAACCGGCCCACGAACCCGTGCGTGATTGCGATAGGAAAATCTGTATTTCACTGCAGTTAAAATGAGTCATTTGATTGGGTGCGCCAAGAAGCTGGCGCCACCAAACAGTGCTACTGTATCATAAATTTGAACGTCTGGGGTCATTACAGATTAAAACAATGGCGGCGTGCATTCTTTGCGCTAATTCACTGCGAGTCAAGAACAGAAAGGTTTACATTCGTTGACATGTTTCCAAAATGTATTATTACAACGTTGAACATTTCTTGTGGGCAATTGAATGAAGACGATGAAATGTCTAAACATTTGTGCAAACCGTTTTTATTAAACTGTCGAAACCCGATCCGGTCTTCGTTGCAACCGTTCTAGTAAGCGTGAACAAACACATCATTTCCCTCAGATACAGCACTAAGCGCTTTCTTTTGATGGTCGGTAAGCTAGTTCATCGTTCGTTGTTTTCTATATTCCACTATTTTAAATTTACCAAGTATGTGTCGTTTCTATCGTGAGTTCTGATTGGGTAATCCAAACGAGCCCGAGTTAATCTTATAATTGCTTTTACAGTCAGGTAATTTGTGGTGAAATCTGCCAAGGGTTAATGTTGAGGCTTCGGCCGAATAAATGATCCTTGGCTGGCGAAGATGCAATACAAGTGCCTCCTTTCCAAATACAACTTAAATTGAAGAGTTGTACCTATAGCACACGATCAGAGAAACGTCAAAACTGAAAACAATAGAATATTCGATAATGCAGTTTTGTGGCGCACAAATGACAAATGACTATTTGAGCAGTGTATTCACCTGAATCACGATAATCGCACTGGCGATTCTCTGCAAAATACCTAGAATGTTCACGCCACGAGTCACTATATCGAGCTTTTGTATATCTCTAATATATATTGATCACTAATTCGTGGTGTTATTTGTCATGTATGCTACTGCATAAAGTTTTATTAATATTTCGAATGATGAATGAATGACTGGACATGGGAGTAAGCACATGAAAAACAACGTAAACTAACATTTCTCATTTAAATAATGAGACATTCCCGGGTTTCCCCGGGATGTACAATCTCGTATCTCAGTGACAATGAGTGGATGAAAACTTATGACAGATCACATTCTTCAGAAAATGCATATCTCGGCATTAAATACTGGAATAACATATTGAAACTATAATTTCAGTCTGTCACGTGACAATTTATGAAACAGCCCGACTATGACTACACTGAACATATGTACACTATTTGAGTATGGAGATATTCACACCAAGAATGTTGTGTACGTACTTTCCGCATTCACAGTGTTAAAGAAATAAAACGGCAATAGTGCAGCTGTGTAGTATGTAAAATGAGTCATATTTAAAAATTGCGGTATGGCTGTATCTCATGGATGTCTCAGTCGAAGTATTACTAAAACGTGCCGTCAAACAAATTATACTACCAATGTTGTCAAAGACGTGCGTTCAACGATCTTTATTTATACACGCAACATTTTCGTTTTCAAATAAGATGTTTGTACTTACCCAATACAGTTTTGTTAAGCAGTTGTGTTCCTCGGAATCGAAATGACGTGTGTTCGATCGATCGCATCGGAATAATGAAGTATATTCACATGTAGCCACTCAGTATAACGATAATTTTGACATCAACATGTCAAAAATTGTATTCATAGTAAAATAAATGACCAAAACAAGATGACTGACAGTAAAATTGGATGTCAGTTTAATGACTTGATGACGTGACACTTGTCATGTCTTGTCGTGTCGTGTGTGACCGTATTTGATTTTATGATATAAATTCAACACTGTTATTATGATTTATTATTTCAGAGTATAAATGTTTATTTCAATTAATATTAATGCGCGTTAAGTGTGAAAACCGTTGGAACAACTATGATGTGTTTTGATTTGAATAACATTTTCAGTGAAAATCCGATTATGTATAATCCCTCCTATCACAATTTCGGGTGGTTCAGAGCGTGATTTTCTCGATTTATTTCATCACGTAAATATGCAAATACACTTGTTTCATAAAAATTATAACAGTTATAGTTGTGACAGAAGCTAGTACGGAGCTATCTTTTTCAAAAAAAATAGTGTGCGGTGCCTACATACATACCTGGTGTGATTAAGGTTTACATTTACACAAATACTACATAATGCAAAGCGTGTATACATTACATTTCATTTCGACTGAAATTGTCCGAAGTTGTATTTGCTACATGACTGTATTGATAGCATGCACAGTTTGTATGTACATATCATGAAATGTATTGTGTACATGTTCAACTTGATAAAGTGCACTGTGACATGTCTTGACATGTACTGTAAAAGACGTAATATATTCACCTAATTAACACAAACGTCAATCAGACTGTCATTTTTTATTATAATTTACAATCACTGTGAACAAGCGTTTCAGGATGAACACACTACTGATCAGAAAACTAAACAAATAATTTTAGGGACCAATTATTTACATTATGAATATTCATTTCACAGCGAATACTGCTTTCTTAGCGTTGGTGGCAGCAGACTTAGGAGCCAACCCTGTGACGTACAGAGATTTTGCTAAAACCCAGATCCGATATATGCTTGGAGACTGCGGGCACAGCTACGTAGTTGGATACGGAGTCAATCCTCCTGAACGTCCGAAGCATGAAGCCAGGTGAGTCCACGTTTCTTGAATATGCGGAACATATCTTAATGTGATTTTACTGGTATCTTCATTATCGTCTATTTATTTGTTGGTTTCAGTTCTTGTGATGACATGCCGTCAATATGTGATTTTACCGACTACCAGAGTCCAGATCCCAGCCCTCAAATACTGTATGGTGCTCTTGTCGGTGGACCTGATATCAACGACAACTGGATAGATGACAGAACTAATTCTAAGACCAATAAAGTCGCGTGCGATTACAACGCCGGATTTCAGTCTGCAGTTGCCGGTATGTGGTATAGACCTCAATACGTGCCAGGCGCTCCTTGTTATAGCTTAAAGAGTCTATATTAAGTAGGAAGTTGTTATTTCTTTTTTTTGATAACTGAATATTGTGCTAATAAATCTAAATACAAGCGGTTAATTGAATCGGTGCTTACCAGACAGACCTCGTAGATTTTCCATTATCAGGATTAAATGATTTGGAAATTTCTTACAACCACAGGAATGTTACAGATGTTACGATGAGTACACACTGATCCTCTCTCAACGTGTGATTGTACATAGACAATTGTAGTCTCTTTGCGACTGAATAGTATTAATCTGAACATCTAAGTATCAAGGCACCAAGGAAGATTTGAAACAGAACTAGCTTTGTTTTACCGTTGACGGCGTAACAGTTAATTTACATGCATATATGTTTGATTTTAGGTCTCAAATATTTGGAGCTAACAGGTAAGAGTGTACCGTAAATTGTACAATGTGTGGATCCGATAGAGCAGCCAGGCTGCTGTATTTCTGCAAATAAGGCGGGAAATTGGTTCACCGCCTCGGTTGTTTCAGACACATCGAATCTAAACTGGTTATTTGCTCTATTGCACTATGCGGGATAACTATTATTTATATAAAAAGTAGATTTCCATTGACAAATAATTGTTTTCCCCGGTCTCCACACATCTTGCATTCATTAGAGTTATGATTGATGAAGCAAAGGCTTCAATTCACAGGTGGTTATGACTACATCGAAGTTTTGCACCAGTCCATCCTATTCTATGAAGCCCAGCGGTCCGGGGTTCTCCCAGAGGAGACAAACCGAATATCATATAGAAGCCATTCGGCCTTAGGTGACCAGGGTCACCATGGGGAGAATTTGACAGGTGGCTGGTATGATGGTGAGTAAAGCACATGTACGTTTCTGTAATTATAGTGTATATTACAGTGTGTGTTCAGGACGCTCTCGATGAGTGAATCACAGATAAACAAAACAAAAGTGGTATATTTCATGATCACGTGGTACCAAAGAAAACAACCCATTGTTTTTTCTATTAAACAGCCGGGGATCATGTTAAATTTGGATTGCCAATGGCGGCTAGTTTGACTAACCTAGCATGGGGTATGATTCAGTTTGAGGATGCGTACAGGGCTGCCAATGCGTGGAACTACGGCCTGGATGGTATTCGATGGGCGGCCGACTATTTCGTCAAGTGTCACGTGGAAGACAATACATTCTACTATCAGGTAGTGGACCCTTTGTATTATACTTTATATATTTCTATAATATGCAATGAGTCTGAATGAATAATAAAATTAAAAATCAAATTTGATATAAAACACATATAAACTAACCAATTAAACTAATCATATGGAGACCCTGTAGATTTGCAACCTTGAAGAGTATGGGAGTATTATCTATTCCCGCAATTAACGTGTTTGAGTATATTCGGCCTGGACAACAGCTCTCAAATACTGATAAAAAAACAGCATGTGTTGTTTGTTTAGAGTGGCCACGAACATTTATGTATTCCTTAACAAAACTCACGCACTCTATATCTAATGAGGTCGCAGATCCAGGAGTTGATCATGCTTACTGGGGTCGACCGGAGGAGATGACAGATTACAGACCATCATACTTGGTGAATGCATCTTTACCAGGCTCTGATGTTGCCGGGGAAACGGCTGCTGCGCTGGCTGCATCTTCAATTCTCTTCAAGGAGACAGGTACCTTTGTATGCTCAGTATTCCATTTACTATATATATAGCCAAGAATGGATGACTTATAGCGAAGAAAGTTAACTTCATCTATCATACATTTTTAATCAAATTTAATACATAGGTACCTTGGGGTAGTGTTCAGACACGCTTAGATTGTCCATGCATAATAAATATCTAATTCGTATATTAATCTAATTTGGTATATAAGTACTTTGAGGTAAAGTGCTGGCAGGATTAGTAGTATAGGGTGCATATTAAGTATCTAAATTGCATTTTGTCACCTAATAGCCTGTGTAAGAAAAATTTGGATCAACAATGATTACATACATTCTGCATTTACACGAAAACTTTGGTATTTGATGGCATTGCATCTCCGAGATTTGTCCAATGCTTTGAGCATGTACTCAATAAAGACGACGTTTTGCATCGGCGCTCTGGAAGTATTGCATAACGTACGTTTACCTATTTTTTATAGATCCGGTTTACGCTGCTTTGCTGCTGAATCATTCCAAGACGTTGTTTAATTTTTCCGCCACTTACCTTGGTGTGTATCCATCGTACGACTTTTACATGTGAGTTACATGTGATAAATCACTCTAAATCACTTACCTTGGTGTGTATCCATCGTACGACTTTTACATGTAAGTTACATGTGATAAATCACTCTAAATCACTTACCTTGGTGTGTATCCATCGTACGACTTTTACATGTGAGTTACATGTGATAAATCACTCTAAATCACTTACCTTGGTGTGTATTGTATCCATCGTACGACTTTTACATGTAAGTTACATGTGATAAATCACTCTAAATCACTTACCTTGGTGTGTATCCATCGTATGACTTTTACATGTGAGTTACATGTGATAAATCACTCTAAATCACTTACATTGGTGTGTATCCATCGTAAGACTTTTACATGTAAGTTACATGTGATGAATCACTCTAAATCACTTACCTTGGTGTGTATCCATCGTATGACTTTTACATGTGAGTTACATGTGATAAATCACTCTAAATCACTTACCTTGGTGTGTATCCATCGTATGACTTTTACATGTGAGTTACATGTGATAAATCACTCTAAATCACTTACCTTGGTGTGTATCCATCGTATGACTTTTACATGTGAGTTACATGTGATAAATCACTTACCTTGGTGTGTATCCATCTTACGACTTTTACATGTAAGTTACATGTGATAAATCACTCTAAATCACTTACATTGGTGTGTATCCATCGTATGACTTTTACATGTAAGTTACATGTGATAAATCACTTACCTTAGTGTGTATTCATCGTATGACTTTTACATGTGAGTTACATGTGATAAATCACTTACCTTGGTGTGTATCCATCTTACGACTTTTACATGTAAGTTACATGTGATAAATCACTCTAAATTTCACCAATATCACACACATCCGTTATAATTGTCATTCTAGTAATACGCCTTAGCCGAAAATGGCCGCCAATGAAACTGTCATTGAAAATAATTGAGTCGCGTGACGTCATCGCGTACACTGCTCACCATGATTATATATAGTGGAACTCTATTACAGGGACAAAAACAAGTCGTGTGACTCTCTAACTCTCAACGAGATCTCGGCGGTCATTTAGCTGGTATCCAATGATGGTTCACGTGGTGGTGAAACTTACAGTAAAAACACACTTTTCATCGCCGATACTGAAACTACTAATGCAGTAATTCGCAACGTGGGACGATGTTTCAAATTTCCATTTGTACATATGATTTAACATTATAGCAAATGCACTGCAATGTCATATGCCAGAGGGTGGGGGTAATTAACAGTGAGAACAAAATCACCTCAGTGTGTGAAAAACAACGTGTGCGCAGTTGCAGGTATATAGTATGAATATATAAAATAATATCAACTGACTGTTGCTATTCACGTGGTAGATTTGCATATTTAAAGGTCATGATGGTCCCGTCGTTTCCTCGCACAGATCAGACCAATTTGGTGATGAGTTGGGGCTGGCCGCAAGTTGGTTGTACTACGCCACCGAAGATTCATTTTATTTGGAAACCGCCGAAGATTTGTATGTAAGGTATGGTCTATTTAAACGATCCTGGGGGTATTCTTGGAGAGAAAAGAACCCAGCTGTGCAGGTAAATCGTGTTAAAATGTTTCTTTACAGTTCATATCAGTTCATCGGCTACATATTCTGTAAAATATACGTTGTCTCATCTCATGGCATGCCATCTCACCATTCTGCGTACCCATGACGACCAATTATTTCTTGCCACGTAGTATATGGTATGATGTGTTTTGCGTGCCTGGCAAATGTTTATGCACGTATACCACCCCGGATGCCGTATACTATTTTTTACTAACGATTCACACATTGTATTAAGTCTCATACTACTTATACGAGTTAAAGGGCGGTGGTCGTTGCGTCACACATGCGCGGGACATGGATCTCATATAAACAGAGCTGACAAGTACAT